TCATATCTCTCAAATCAGACAATGATATGTAATTTATCATACTGTCATATACTATTGTCTTTAGGGATGGGAGCTGAAGCTCGACGAGAAGCCAATGAGTACGGTCCAAAATAGGGATAAACACCTTCATCGAAATGTAATAATTCAAATTGCGCACTTATTTATGAACACCTTTAAAATATTTAAACAAATATACTAACCTTATCGACCTCCCACCATGTAGGATAAAGTTTAGCTTGTCCATTAGCCAACACATATGATTCCTGTCGTTGATTCTTCAAGTGAACTACGTGAAAAGACGTCGACATAATTGTATATCATGTTTTTTTAATATTTTTATTCAATTTCCTTACAATTAGAAGACGTGTCACCCGTGCATCAATGTGCTGTTTTACAAAAAAAGACATATATTAGTGAATTACATAAATTTAAAAAAAAATTAATCAAACTGAAATATAAGAAATATAAGACTTACCCCCCATCGAAATAGCCGTTGTCTTCAACCCCTAATAATACACCCCACCAAGACCGTTCAATCAACAAATGCATATCATCGTTAAGTTTGTATATGTCAGCGTAACACCCTTGGCTCCGCTCATGTAGATAAATATCAACTGCGGTCTTAGCCCAAAGGGTATTATCCAGAATTGTTTCCTGTAGTTGTTTCATCTCCACTTCATCTGCCGGAATATTACTGGCCGGTAACTTATACGAAAGCCAACAGTCATCCATCTTGTCCGGCACGTGAGGGGGCTTCTCAATAATTCGATATATTACGCCGTGTGAATCAGGCTCTAGAATGTTTGGAGGGACCTCTTCAACGATGACAGTGGCCTCTTGAACGGTGGGAGGGGACTCTTGAGGGATGATAGGGGCCTCTTGAACGATAGGAGAGGCCTCTTGAACTATGACAGGTGAGTCGGGCTTTTTCTTACGGATTCTTCGCACTATTGGGGTGAACGGAGACGTAATGGCACGTGCACGCCGTCTGATGCGTGAACTCTTTCTTGCAAGAAAAACCCGACGTAGAGCATCCACCTTAGCGGGCCGCTAAAAATAAATTAATACATAAATCAATAAATAAACAGACATGATATTAAACAGTGAGAACAAAGAAAAATATATTTCAAACTTGCACGGTATTCACCCAAGTCATTATTATATCATTGTTCATAAAATGCATCAGATAACATTCCAGAAGTAAGCACTTATATAAATATTTAAAAGGACAACATATAGGTTTAGTGCAGGTTCAATGACAACATAAAGAGTAGTAGTTTATTCTTGAAACTTAAATTTTCAACACTGTGAAGTTAGTATTTGTCTTTTGGTTGAAGTAATGCAATTCATTCAAGTTTCAATTTGCAGAAGAAGAATAGAATCTGAAACTTAAAATCGCAACGCGAAAATGACTATCGCAATGCGAATTTGACTATCGTAACGAGAGAATCACAATGCGAAATGAAAATCACAACGCGATTATAGTTTCGCGTTGCGATTTTTGTTTCGCGTTGCGATTTTGGTTTCGCGTTGCGATTTTCATTTCTCGTTGCGATAGTCATTTTTCACGTTGCGATTTTATGTTTCGTGTTGCGAAAATAAACTATTTCTTCTTCTGCAAATTGAAACTTGAATGGATTGCATTACTTCAACCAAAAGACAAAACAAAGACAAATACTAACTTCAGAGTATTAAAGAATACACAGTTTAGCAGAATTGACAGCAACCGAACAAATTTACTTTCAACCAAAAGATAAAACAAAGACAAATACTAACTTCACAGTGTTAAAGAATATACAGTTTAGCAGAATTGGCAGCAACCGAACAAATTTACTTTCAACCAAAAGACAAAACAAAGACAAATACTAACTTCACAGTGTTAAAGAATACATAGTTTAGCAGAATTGGCAGCAACCGAATAAATTTACTTCAACCAAAAGACAAAAAAAAAGACAAATACTAACTTCACAGTGTTAAAGAATAAACAGTTTAGCAGTATTGGCAGCAACCGAATAAATTTACTAAGCAATCTAAGTGAAATTACGAGTAAATTTATCATCAAGTTAAATATGGAAAATCTTAAACTTACCTCGTTGCGTAGAGTATGAACCTCATTCTGCAACGATACTACCATCTCACGTAGAGCGGCAACCTCACCACGTAAAGTAGACACCTCCACACGCCATGCACCATCGTTATCGCGTAGAGTACCGATCTCCTCACGCAAGGCATTGACCTCATCACGTAACTCCCTTGACTAATCCCGTGGAGGTGGAGGTGGAGAACAGGGAGATAGAAGTCCTGGCATCTTTGCCGGTCGCCTATCATGAGGTGATAGTGGAGAAGAGGCTCGATGATGTGACGAGATAGGTGATGGCTCTCGTTTTAGAGGTGTATAGTCGGGTCGATCAGGTGATGGCTCTGGGTGAGGTGATGCTCTGGGCGAGGTGATGGCTCTCGAAGTGGAGGAAGTGGAGGCTGCTCATCATTCGTGCCATCAAAAAAACGCTGACTAGCTTGCCACCAATCAGTGGAAAGCTCAGCCTCCGTGGGTGTCAGTCTCTGTAATGGAGTGTTGGCCTCCTAAAAATATAAAAACTCAAACAAAGTTAAACGTCTACTATTAATAACTTGTTTATATGTGATAGTATTTTTGTTAACTTACATTATTTATTGTCGCATATGGTATTAAGTCTTTCCAATCCAACAGACGTTTTCCTCTTCCAGGAAATAGCCCTAGGAATATCATTTGAAGTTTTTAATGCATATATCCGCATGCTGGGGAAAGCCTCGAATATCCAAATCTACAAACAATATAATAACAAACATTAGTAATTGTTAAATAATTAATTATAATTTTGAAAATATTATATAGAAATTCTTACCTTAAAGGCCCAAACAAAGCCTGAAAAAGTGTATTTCGACCCATCGCCACGTAAACTTTTACGGTTATCAAAGGCAGACGACAACTTAGTCCAGGTAGCTTTCCATATATACGAACCCCACGGAAACAGATTCCATGCATTTAGGTCCTCTACCAAGAATATTAGCTACTGAGGAATAGGTTGTCTGGCATCTCTGCCTAAAAAGCCGGCATACAAAAGTACTAGAAGGCATACTCGGACAACATCGACGTCATTCATCCGAGTAAAACCATCTTTCTTATTAAACAATTTCTTCATGTCGTCGACGTGTAAGTTCAGCTTCTCTATTGATTCATCAGGAAAAACCTGGGATAACCATGATGGGCGGGTGATATGACGAGTGTATTGGTCTACATCATCGTGTCCGAATCGTAGACCAGTGATTAAGAAGAACTCCTTCCGCCCAAAACAAGTATACGCCGGTGGAAAATGAAACCATATCTCTTCCTCACCACGTTGTATACTGTCGGGTAGATCGCTAGTCATGGTCTGAAGCTACAAATTGGTCAAATTAGCATCTCCACCCGGATGATGTACTCTAAGCCATGGCCAGAAGCAGGTTTCCTCAAACAATTTTCTTTGTGCAGGTCAAAGCTTCGAAGCAATTGTAGTGGCTAGGCTAACTTTATTCCTTAATGTCAATGAAGCCGAAAAAAATGTATACAAAAACAATAAACATACCAAGTTAGATATACCAAAAACTACACTGTGAAGATATACAAAAAACAATAAACATAAAGAGTAGTAGTTATTCTTGAAACTAAAATTTGCAACACTGTTTTGTCTTTTGGTTGAAATGAAAATCGCAACGAGAGAATGACTATCGCAATGCGGAAATGACTATCGCAACTAGAGAATCGCAACGCGAAATAAAAATCGCAACGCGAAATTAAAATCGCAACGAGAGAATCGCAACGCGAAATGAAAATCGCAATGCGATTTTGGTTTCGCGTTGCGATTTTCATTTCTCTCGTTGCGATAGTCATTTTCGTATTGCGATTTTCATTTTCATGTTGCGATTTTAAGTTTAGAAACTATTCTTCTTAAGCAAATTGAAACTTTAATGGATTGCATTACTTCAACCAAAAGACAAAACAAAGACAAATACTAACTTCACAGGGTTAAAGACTAAACAGTTTAGCAGTATTGGCAGCAATCGAATGAATTTAATATGAAATCTAAGTGAAATGGTTAATCTATTATTGAAATTACCAGTAAACTTATCATCAATTTCAATATGAAAAACCTAAAATAATGCAAAAATTTCAAAATAAAAATAATTAAAAAAACTAACCCTCAGAGGTTGATTTTCCATTTCTGAATGATTGTGAGGGATTTCTGACCGTGAATGGTTGTGAGGGATTTCGCCGAAGATGGGGACGGAAATCTTCGGAGATGGGGACGGATTTCGCCGTAGAGAGTGAGAGATGGAGATGAGACTGAGTTGTGATTTTAGGTTTTAGGTTATGAGTTGCGATTACGGGATATACTATGGACGGTTCAGTGTTCCGATAATTAATATTTGTGTTTGGAATTTGAAAATAAAATACGCGTAGCGATTCTAATGGCGCTTTAAAAATCGCGTTGCGATTTACGGATACGCGTTGCGATTTTACGTATTGTCGTTGCGATTTACGGATACGCATTGCGATTTACGTATTCTCGTTGCGATTTACATATACGCGTTGCGATTTACGTATTCTCGTTGCGATTTACGGATACGCGTTGCGATTTTACGTATTGTCGTTGCGATTTACGGATACGTGTTGCGATTTTACGGATACTCGTTGCGATAGTCAGAATCGCGTTGCGATTTATATGTTCGCGTTGCGATTTTCATATTCGCGTTGCGATTCTGGAAAATCGCAATGCGAATTTGTACTATCGTATTGCGATTCTGGGAACTGATTTGCGATTCTGGAAATTGATTTGCGATTCTGGAGATCGCGTTACGATTTTTATTTCGCATTGCGATTTTGTTGGTCATTTTGACAAATCAAAAAAAATTAATTAAAATCGTATATTATAAGACATTGTTGATCATTGAGACGGTTTTCTCTATAAGAGGAACTCAAACGGAAAATCGAAGGAGAAGAAACGAAAGCTCTCTCTTTCAAGTTTTCAATTTCAACAATCTCAAATGTATTTGACTGTTTCGTTTTACGAAAAAAAGAAAAATAAATTGTGATATTTTCCCTAATTTGACTATATATTTGTAATTACTGTAGCTTCAGAATTTGATCTCGTCGATCAAATTACTCTTTTGATTCTTTAGGGTTTCTCTGTATATATATAATATATATATATAGATGTACCCTAGAATTAAAGAAATTTATTTGCCTTATAGTTCTGACTTGAGATTCCAATTGGGTCTCTTTTAATAAATTAATTGGTTTTTGATAGTAGGAAAAGCCCATGCGCTGATATAATTGTTGGGGTTTCTTTTAGCGAATTTCACTGGGTTTTAAGGGGGAAACTGAAATTTGTTTTGTCAATGCAGGAATTATTTGGGTCTGGAGAAATTTTCTGGGTTTTATTACTTTCTCGAGAAAATTAGTGGGGTTGTTTGATGCCTGGGAAAATCGTTGTTTCACTGGGATAAAATATTGGGTTTTTTTAAAAAAATAAAATAAAAATAAAAACTATTTCTTTTGGTGTCGATCCGATCTGCCTGTTCCTGAGCCATGGCAGTTTCAACAATAGCTCTTTATGCGAGTACACCGAGCAGCGTATGCTCCACGACTCACCAGATCAACATCAATTCCTGTGATTTCGACTTGAATTCAAGATCATCATCTTCAACTTCCTCGACAGTGGCTTCCTCTTCATGCCCGAGACCAATTGTCGGTGGTTTATCGTGCCTCTTCTCCTCATCTTCGGTAAAATCAAGCTTTTCTAGCGGTGGAGAGGATTTAGGGTCTTACAGAGGGGAAGAGTTGAAGGAATTAAGCTGTTCATTTTGTTATTCAACAGGTAAATTCGGTGGTTCTTTGAAACCCAATCAAAGCCCCGTATCGGTGTTTCAGGGCCCTGTTTTGTGTAGTAGCAGTAGTCCTCCTATGAGAGCCGCGCGTGAAAAGGGTGTAGAATGGCATTTTCAGGGCTCTTTACATAGTGGCACTAATGGATTGTTAAATGGATTCATAAGGCGCGCCTTAGGGTCTTGCACTGATTATGATTCACAAAGTTTTGAGGTTCCAAGTGGTGGTTGTGTTGATGAATTGCCGTTTTCAATGGAGGATAATTTCATAGAGGAAGTGAATATGGATCCTTGTGTTGAGGAGTTGCTTTTAGGTGCAAAAATGAGGCACAAAATCTTTTGTGAAGATTTTGTAGTCAAGGCATTTTATGAAGCCGAGAAGGCACATAGAGGGCAGGTACAAACAGAGAAATCAAAGTTTATTTTTAATCTTGACTTTCTGTTGATTCATATATTGAAAGGTGATGTGAAATTCTTTGTCTTGTAGATGCGTGCAAGTGGTGATTCTTATTTACAACATTGTGTGGAAACTGCAGTGTTGTTGGCCTTCGTCGGTGCAAACTCCACTATAGTTGCTGCGGGGCTTTTACATGACACCATTGATGACTCGTTTTTGAGCTATGACTATATATTTAGGACATTTGGTGCCGGAGATTCTGATTTAGTTTTAGGGGTAAGAAATTCGACTCTCCAATGCGTATTGTGCTACTCGTGTTTATACTCTAACCAAAATGATTTTACTGTTAGGTTTGTTTTGTCTGGCGTTGAAGATTTTGGTTTATTCAATTAGCAATCTAGTGTCTTAAAGAATGAAAGACTGTATGCGATGGAATATTTAATTAGTTTTTCATAAAATAGGATGTGCATATTATTAATTACTCTTCTACCTTATTTGAATGAGCAAATAGTTTTAGCTTTATAGTTCCCTTCCATTAATGATTGTGTTGGATGTGGCTGTACTGACAGCTATATTGGATAGTAATTGTTGTCTCTGTTGTTCTTATTCCTTCTTGGTTATTCTCTTAACGATTGAACTCTTCTCTTTTAGTTTGTGCTTAATTTCCTAGTTAAAATAAAAGCTATCTAGTTCTAAGCATAAGCTTCCCCAATCTTGAGCATCATAGGTAGCATATTAACTTCAGAAGCTTGATTAATTTCAAGTTCCTTGTAATTTTCTTGCATATATCAATCAGCATCTTTTCGAGTAAAGATTTGATAGTACAAGCTTTTAATTGCCCTATTATGACTTCCCATAGGTCTCCAAGCTTAGTCAACTGAGTAAGCTAGTACGTGAAAATAATACTGCAAGCCAAACTGCTGAAGCAGATAGGATGAACACCATGTTCCTTGCCATGGCAGATGCAAGAGCTGTCCTCATTAAATTAGCTGATCGGTTTCACAACATGATGACACTGGATGCTTTGCCTTTGCTTAAGCAACAGAGGTTTGCTAAGGAGACTTTGGAAATATTTGCACCTTTAGCCAATCGTTTAGGAATCTCTAGTTGGAAAGAGCAACTAGAGAATCTTTGTTTCAAGCATCTCAATCCGGATCAGCACATAGAACTGTCCTCCAGGCTTGTGGAATCCTTTGATGAGGCGATGATTACTTATGCTATAGAGAAACTTGAGAGAGCTCTCAGGGATAAAGAAATTCCTTATCATGTTCTCTCTGGACGGCATAAAAGCTTATATAGCATTTATTCAAAGATGTTGAAGTATGTTATAACTCAGTAAATTTATCTATTTATCTATCAATTTCTAGCAGTGGAACATGGAGACCATCTTTATGGTAGTATAGGGCTTTAGCCAATTGCTAAGACTATTTTTAGTATCTGTTTCGGTATCCAATGCTGATGTGTGTCATTATAGCAACAGTTTTTTCCCCTCATGTGATGCTATTTTGTTTTTTGCAGGAATAAGTTGGCCATGGATGAGATCCATGATATATGTGGAGTACGTGTTATTGTTGAAAATGTGGACGACTGTTACAAGGCACTATATGTAGTACACCAGCTATGGTCTGACGTACCTGGAAAGTTGAAGGACTATATAACTCATCCGAAATTTAATGGGTATATAATACCTTACTATGCTCCGGTTTTGTTCTCTAGGTGGAAGCCATAAATGCTGAAGACCCTTCTAATACTCATCTTAATCTGCAGGTATCAGTCCTTGCACACAGTAGTGATAGGTGAAGGCACAGTTCCATTTGAAGTTCAAATTCGAACGAAGGAGATGCATTTGCAACCTGAGTTTGGCTTTGCAGCTCATTGGAGATACAAGGAAGCTGACTGTAAACACTCTTCATTTGTACTTCAGATGGTTGAGTGGGCTCGATGGGTTGTGACATGGCACTGTGAAACAATGAGCAAGGACCGACCTTCAATTGGCTATAACAATTCCCTGAAACCTCCCTGCACATTCCCTACGTATTCAGATGATTGCCCATTTTCTTACAAGCCACACTGCAGTGACGATGGACCTGTCTTTGTTATAATGATTGAAAACGATAAGGTATGTTTCTTAAAATGGTTATGTTGGCATGGTCATTGTGTGTCAAATTCTCCAATGATGTCTCTCCAATCAAATGAAAGACAAATGTTAAGTTAATCCGTGCTTTCCAAAGTAAACATGAGAAAGAAATAGCAGTTCATGTGTCATTAACCCCTACATCTACATTTCAAGACTGCTGCTGATGTCGGTGCATTAGTTGGAAGTTTGGTCTGAATGTTTATATTTCGCGAATGCTGCAGATGTCAGTGCAAGAGTTTCCTGCAAACTCAACAATGATGGATTTGCTGGAAAGAGCTGGGTGGGGGATCTCGATTTCGTCTCCTCTTACATTTCCTGTTAAGGAAGAGTTGAGGCCAAGGCTGAACCATGAGCCCGTGAGTGATCCTACATGCAGGCTGAAGATGGCTGATGTGGTGGAGTTAACACCAGCCGTTCCTGACGAGTATTTGACAGAGTATAGGGAAAAGATACAACGCATGTATAACCGAGGTCTCCCTGTTTCAAGTGCTGGGCCTTCAGCTAGTAGTATGGTTGCCTCAAGAACTTGACCCTCTTTTATAAACACCCAAAAAATGAAAACAAAGAAACGGGATTCTTTCCTTTGTACATAAATGATAAATAATACGCAAAAGTGACATGGTTCCGTTGTTGGAATCATTTGCCAACTGGTTTTAACAAAGAATATAACAATTGATTTCCCAATCGTTTCCTCCATCAATGCAATTGTTCGTTGAATTTTCATAACCCCACAATAGATTTGCTGTTAAAACAAGGGATAGAAGGTGTCCCAGTGTAAAAACATAAAATATGCGTGGGGCGGTAATTGATACCTGATCATGACTCCCTTAATAAATTAATCAGCCTTATCATGTCCAGAGAAGCAATGGGGCAAAGGCAAAGAATAAAATTGGAAGACCGGTTACTTGTTTGGTTGTCATCGATCAGCTATTAAATAATTTTAAAGCATCCCCCCCCCCCCCCACAAAAAAAAATCCTGAAAAGCTGATGGTATTCAGGAAAGTTTAGGAATGAGTTTTGTTCTCCAAATTTACATGGTCATATGGTCACCTTTAGAGGCTTAACCACATCTTAAAGGAAACGGAAAGTATAGTTTCAGCTTTCAATAACATAAAAACTAACATGGCTAATAATCAAGCTAGATATTGGTTTACCATCCCATTGGCACATTGAAGCCAACCATTGTGGTTCAGAAATTTGTATCCTTTCAGACCAATGATTGTTTGTAGAAACACACGAAAGTAGACCTAGAAGACCACTGGCAAGAATCGATATAGCAGTTTTGCCTGTTAGACTTGGACAAGTAGAGATTATTGCCAAGTGATAACAAAAATGAAACAGCTCTATTCTAGGTATGTTGCAGATTTCATGATGTAATTTTACAAAGAATCAATGAATACAATTCAGCTTCATGAACAGTTTACAACCTCGGAATTTCCAATGCAAAAACTATCTCCATCTCATCACCTAATTCCCACCCCCAAACGACTAAAAGAAAGCATCACAAATTCCAAAATCAGTAATAATTAAGCAGTTTAATTATCCAAGGTCTAGGGTCTATATATATAATCCGAAAGACCAGTTCATATGCTTCCCATTAGTGTCATTAACAAATTCCTAGCTTAGTGCACGACTCAGTCTCAAAGGCATGTCAAGAATGGCCTGTCGGAGAATGTAATATCCATGTTTATTAAACATACAATAAGGTGTGGAAGGAAGTTCCATGTCAAAATTGTTCCAGATTAGGAAAAATCTATCAGAAACTTATCAATCATCACCTCTAGACAGCATTACTTGAAGCTTTTGCTGAACCAAGCTTCAGAATCTGTTGTGCTTTTGCTACTATTTTATCTCCTGTCGTATATCCCAAGAGCAAATGCATTTGATGCAACTAAACCAATAAACTTTGCATCACACAAATACATAATCATGTTGCCAACGACACAAGGAACATTCATTATTCTTAGAATTATAGGCAAAAAGCAAGATACTATATAAATAAATATGAAAGAGAATGTTCACCAAATCCACTATATTACTCCCATGAGTTTTAACATTTTTACAGTGTCAAAATAGTTAGCTGAAAGATCTAAAAAACACTTGATGTAAAAGTTGAAAGCTTTTCTTCTTTGTAGAATAAAATCCAAGTAGACATAAACTAGATAATACAGGGAAAGAATCAACAGCCAAAACAGCAGCAAAATTTTAAAAAGAAAAAAAAAGTGTGAAAGATCTACCCATTTACAGAAGATCTCAGCAAGGACACAAATCTGCAGTATTTTTAATCCCTTTCTCAGTTCATCAGATAATTTTCTTTTTTCTCAATCCAACAAAAGAAGTCCCTAAAAATGAATTGAATTGCAAATGTAACCCAAAAGCTAGGGGAAATTTCAATTTCATGAAGAAGAAGAGCAAGCCTCGTATGTTCCTGCGCCATTGACTTTCAACAACTGCCTTCTCTTCAAAATTAAGAACCCAACAACACCAAACTGCAGGATGATAGCAATGCCGATGAACAAAAGCCCAATTTTTTGCCCCGTACTGAGCTTGTGATTACGTGACAGTTGTGGTGGCAGCCCCCAACTATGATGATCGGTTCGATTATGGTAGTGCTCTGCAGGCGGCGGTGGTTGAGAATGCGCTAGAGATGGCGGTGGTGAAGGTGGTGGTAGCGGCAAAAAATGGAGGAGGAGAAACGGGTGGGGTTGGGGGCGGTGGTGGGGGAGGAGGAGGTGGAGGGGGAGGCAGCGGAGGAGGAGGCGGACTTGTTTTAGACGATTGTGATTCAACAAAATATGCAAAAACTGTGAAGAAAAGGACGAAACTTAAGAGCACTAATTGTAATAATGACTGTTCCATAATAACAAAAAATCTAATCTTTGGGGGGTGTTTAAAATCAAGGATTTTGGTGCATTCTAGCTTATGGGCATGACCCTGTGCTTCTTCAGGTTTTCTTGCTAGAGTTACAACATTAGCTGGATTCTTGCTTCTCTTGTTTTCTTTGAGAAATCAAGCCAATGGTATCTTCCAAATCCTTGGCGACTTGGCGTATCCAACTTCTGTTTCTCCAATTAAAAACCTCGGGGATTTTTTTTATTGCAAAGGTCGAGGCTTTAAGGCTTACAAAATGTCTAGGGTTCAGCCTAAGAAAGAGGGCTATTTTCATGGTATATCACCGGTGATCGGTATTATTATTAATCTAATATCGATTAGATAATATTTTCTGATCTAATACCTTTAGTAGAAAAGTGCGCCTCTTGCATCGCGTTATATGCTGATTTGGCGTCACGTGGGTATAACGCGCCCCTTGTCCCGCGATATACGGTGATCTGGCCCCACGTAGATATAGTGCGCCCCCTGATCCGCGCTATACCTAGATATCTGACACGTGTGGTATAGCGTGGTGCAGGGGGTGCGATATACCCCTAATTACCAACCCTTCACGTCCCCATCCTCCCTATAAATACCCTCATCCTCAATCACTTTTATCACACCAAATTCTCTCAAATTCTCTAAATTTCTCTCAAATACTCTCTTTTTAAGGTATATTTTATAATATTTTTACTATTATGTTTTTACTTTATTTAATATTTTACTAATATAATTCTTTTGCATATATATAATGGAAGGTAGTCTACTTCGCTCGGATAGAAATCATATATCTCTACACTTTGCTGATACTGTAATATTTTAATGTTTTAATTTAATTTAAATTATTAGTAATATTTAGTTTATTTATTTAATGCATGACTATTAGATTAAGAATTAAATATCTCGATACTTTGCTGATACGGTAACATTTTAACGTTTTAATTTAATTTAAATTATTAGTAATAATTAGTTGATTCATTTAATGCATGATTATTAGATTAAGAATTAATTTTTGTAATTATTTATTTTTAGGAGAAGTACCGTGTATTAGATCCTTTTATTAGGAATTTTAAATTAGTGATACCTAGTCGTGTCTTGCCGTATTTAGTAGAGGCTGGATTCGGTTACATAGGTAGATATCAGGGTCACTGTAAGATAGAGTCAGACTTGATTTGTGCCTTAGTAGAGCGGTGGAGGCCGGAGACCCACACATTTCATCTTCAATGCGGAGAGTGCACGATCACGTTTGAGGATGTTTCTATGCACCTGGGGCTTCCGGTGGATGGAGATGTGATATCGGGGATAACTTCCGGTTCTTGGACTACTTTGTGTCGGGATAGTCTAGGAGGATACCGTTAAATTGGTTAGATGCCAATTTTTGGGAGTTTAGCACAGACGCCTCTGAGGATGAGGTTAAGATGTATGCACGGGCATGCATACTGCAGTTGATAGGAGGGTTGCTGATGCCGGATAAATCGCGCAACTTAGTTCACTGCATGTGGTTGCGACATCTTAGCGACTTTCGTCTCGCCGGATCATTCAGTTGGGGCTCGGCAGTTTTGGCTTTGCTGTACAGGGAGATGTGTGGAGCCACTGACTACAGACGTAATGCTATCGGCGGATGTCTCCTGCTGCTGCAGTCTTGGGCATGATATCGATTGCCCTTTTTATGTCCTGTTGTGAAGAACCCATTCGTATTTCCACTACTTCTGAGGTAAATATAAAACTAATTTTGTATATTAATAATTTTATACAGCATATAACAAATTTTTTTCCTTGAATAGGTGGTCTACTGATAAGAAAAATCATCAGGAGCTACTTGATGATTTAGAAAAAATTAGGGTGCTAATCGATCAGAAGGCTGGCACACATGTATGAATTTTAATGTTTAAAAATCGATTTTAGATTATAGTTATATAATTAGATTATTATTTTGATAAAAATTATATATTATTTGTTTTAGTTTGAATGGGTGTCATATTCTACTGATGATGTGAGGGCGGTGATCCCACCTGAGTTGAGGGGTACATCAGATGTTTGGATGACGATGGTCCCTCTGATATGTTATGCGACCGTCGAGTGGCACTCCACTGATCACGTTCTCCGGCAATTTGGTTGTTTTCAACCAATTCTGGAAGTACCTCGCAATATGGACGAGTTGCGTAGCTTAGATAGACGCGACAAGATAGATACAGATTGGCTGGTGAGGCATCATGGGTGGGTCGTATTGTGGGAGGATCGACATCGGCGTCTTTCCCGTAGAGAGCCCATTTTTGATGACCTCTTGATGTATGCTGAGGATTATTATGAGTGGTTCAACAGTAAAGGAAAACTGTTTCTACTACCCAAGGATGCACGAGGGCAGACCTTTCCACGACGTCGACAGAGACGTTCACCGACACAGCACCATCGTCCCCCGACTCGTGGACAGAGAGCAAGTGTTTCTGGTTCATCCTCAGCTGCTTTCACTTAATTGACGCTTACCCATGCACACAATTAATTGACGCTCATCATTCTTCTTGTACCTTCCATGATAGTTCGCAGTAATGTGTCGGAGACAATACCTATATTGGATAAAGGGTGGTTGCCACATTGGACCCAAAGACTCCATTGCTGCTTTGATCCCAGCTTCGCGATCTGAAATGACACAAATTTTTTCCCTCGTGATAAAATGTGCACGTAAATTTCGGAGAAAAAAAGCCCAAGAATATGTATCTTCTCCTTCGACAAGAGCAAAAGCAACTGGAAGAATGTTGCGATTGCCATCTTAGACAAC